TCTTATGGCCAGGATTCTCACCTGGCCCCGGTTGGCTAGCTCACTACACATGTGTGGGCAATACATTGTTATTGACTCTATATAAAGAGCTCTGCCCAATGCTCTGGGCAACACGGTGACATGGCTTCATGGCTGCAGGAGAGCAGAGGCGAGTGGTGGCAGCGACAAAGACAGAGACTGAGACGGCTGCAGGGTCAGAGAGGCCCAGAGGCAGAGACTGGCTTGCTGCATGCAGACTCACTCTGAGTGGACAGGATTCTAGTGATTGACCTGCCACCATGGGAATGAAGTTGGGTATAAACCCTTTCATCCCAAGAACATTTCATTGTCATTTTTTGGTCTCCTTGAATCCATAGTGAACTTGCCTGGGGCTGAAACCCATTGACAAGACAGTATCATACTGTATCTTTCTATACACTTGTTTTTTCAGTCATATTATACTTGTGAGATTTAACTTTGTTGCTGTGTATTGCTCTAGTTCATTCATTTTTCTCTGCTGTATAGTATTCCATTACATGAATATATAGCCATCCCTTATTACCAGGACCAGACCATTCCTCACAGCACATTTGTGGATAGTGAAAGCTCCTACTACAGATTTTTAACCTGCAAAAATAATAATATGTTCCAAGCTCATCCAAAAACTTCAACTAATTTCTCCTAAATATCATTATAATTCCTCAAAACTATTAATAATCACAGTATAAATCACAGATTTCTTCACAGTATAAAGCTGTGCTGTCCAATGTGGCATGTACTAGCCACATGAAGCTACTTATGTTTAAACATAGTTAATTAAAAGTAAAAAATCCAGGTCCTCAGTTGCACTGGGTATATTTCAAGTGCTTGGTAGCCACATGGGGCTAGAAGCTACCACATGGGACAGCAGAAATAGGATATTTCCATCTCTGCAGGAAGTCCTAAAGCATTTAAAATGCTGATTACTTCATAATCTAACACTGGATAAGCTCTTTTTGCTGTTTTCTCACACACAGAACAGTTCCTGTGTGTGATGGAGGAGGATGTATGCCTGGCAGTGCTTCCGTCTTTCACATGTCCAGCCCTGTCAATGAGCTTTATTACTTCCACATTTTCTTCTAATATACGGGTTTTTCCAGGCCTCTCAGGCTCACCTACTTTCTTCTCAGGCATTCCCACTTTCTTAGAAGATGTTTTCACTTAACAATTAGAAGAAGGTGTTAGTAGTTCTGTATCAAGTAAGTTCATGTGACATTAGCATGCGATGTGACCCTCTCCTATGGGGGGACAGCCGAGTCATGGAGCGGTTCTTCCACATCGTCCCCCTAGCTGCGTGCTGATGAACACTTGAGTTTCATTATGTCAGATTTTCTGCTTGTGAAATATTTTCAAGTCATTGTAACAAATATCGGGAGAGTGAGAGTTTGCATAGCAAGGGATACCTGCATAAAAATGTATTTTTCCATTCTCATATTGATGGATATCTAGATTGTTCCCAATGTTTGCTTTAGATACAATGCTGTGATGTACATTTTTATACACCTGCAAGAGTCCTCATTACATGAAGGGTGTTCTTCAACTTGGTTGTATTCAATTTCTAGTCCCACTAGCAGTGCGTAAAAGTTCCCATCTTTCCACACCCTCAACAAAGGGGGTGTTATCAAACTCTTTAATTTTTGCTAATTTGATGTGTGTGAAATGGATTTCAATGTGGTTTTAATTGAAATTTCCCTCATTGATAGCGAGGTTGAGCATATTTTCATGTGTATTGGTCGTACGTTTTCTCTTCTGTGAAATTTCTCTTTGTGTATTTGGCTCGTTTTTTCTGCTAGGTTGTTTTTTTCTTATTGATATGTAGGCATTATTTATATATGCTGAATGATAATCCTTTTTCTGTTACATGTGCTGTAGTTATCTTCTGTCTGTAGTCTGCAGTTATCTTCTGTCTGTAGTCTGTCTTTTCAAATGTGTGTGTGTGTGTGTGTGTGTGTGTGTGTGTGTGTGTGTCTGTATGTGTATTTGGATTAACAGAACTTAAAAATTTTTATTATACTTGCATTTACCAATTTTTTCCCTCATGATTTTTTTCTTTTTTTGTTGTTGTTTAAGAAGCCCTTCCTTAATTCTGGCATGTAGTAGGAATTCAATAAATGTTTGTTGAAAATGGGAGCCAAAAGGAAGGTCTGGCTTGTGAGAGCTACAGGTGTCGGGCTGATCAGACAGGAGCTGAGGGTGTCATCACAGAGATGAGGACATGGAGGAGATGTCAGAGGGAAGAGGGCACTTGAGTTCCTGGAGAGGAGATGTCCAGAGAGCTGGGGGCCTGGAGGTAGGGACTGTGAGTGTCCGGCATACTGGGGGATAATTTAAGGAGAATGTGTCCAGTGAGCAGAGATGTGGGGCTCCAGGAGGAGTCGGGGAAGCAGGAGGAAAACCAGGTAGGGTGTCGTGGGGGCCACATGGGGGTTCTTGACACTGTCCATGGAGTGACTTCCTGTGTACTCCTTCAGAGGCACAGAGGTCACTGAGTCCTTGGAGGGGCCTGGGGGTGCTTGGGGCAGAGAATAGATATGTGGGCGGACCATCACAGAGGAGCAATTCCTTCAAGACAGCTGGCAGGGAAGGGAAGAGGGGGGCACTAACTGGAGGGGCTGGCTCCAAGGCAGGGCTCAGGGAGAAGCTGGGGCATGTTGATAGGCTTGCAGGGAAGACCAGGACGGCTGTGGGGACCTGGGGCATGGCTGGAGCCTTCACCTCAGGTAAAAGATGAGCCACCTTTTGGGGAGGGAAATGCTAAGCAGAGAAGCTGGGGGCAGGAACATAAGTGAGCCCTTCCAGAAAGCAGGCCTCTGTCCAGTTGGGGAGTCAGGTAGGGGGGTGGTCAGCAGCTAGGACTGGGGTGTGGGTGAGTTAGGGCTTGTGGAGGGAGAAGATTTGGACGGGCCACCATGAAGGGAAAGGACAGAGCTTCCTTAGGTGACAGTGTCCCTTGAGTCACAGATAAACACTTTCTCTCCACAAAGGGCTGGCAGCAGCCCTCCCCCTCCTCAAACCAGACAAGGCTTGCCTCAGGAAGATGTGGCCACAACCACAGTTCATGACACCAAACACCGTGGGTCTGTCCCCACCCCATATCTGGGGCAGCCGCCATCATCTCCTCCCTAACTAGGAAACAGTCTCCTAGCTGGGTCTCAGCCGCCACCCTATCCCTCCCATCCATTCCTCATTCTCCAACCAGCAGCCAGAGAGATCTTTAAAATGAGATTTGATTATGTCACTCAGCTGCTCTAAATGCTTTGGTGACTCCCAAGGCTGTTCAGACAAAGGCCAAATTCCTGACCATTGCCACAGGCCCTGCTTCTCCCTGAGCCCTGCCTTGGAGCCAGCCCCTCCAGTTAGTGCCCCCCTCTTCCCTTCCCTGCCAGCTGTCTTGAAGGAATTGCTCCTCTGTGGTGGTCCGCCCACATATCTATTCTCTGCCCCAAGCACCCCCAGGCCCCTCCAAGAACTCAGTGACCTCTGTGCCTCTGAAGGAGTACACAGGAAGTCACTCCACGGACAGTGTCAAGAACCCCCATGTGGCCCCCACGACACCCTGCTGACTGTTTCTTCTCCAGCCACATCTCCAACTATGCCTCCTGGCTTGTGGGGCACCCCACACCCTGGCTGTGCTTCATTTCCTGGGATGTACCAAACTCTTTCCTGCTTGGAGCCCTCCGTGCACCTCCCTTTGCCTGGAATTCTCTTCCCCTCACTGTCACCAGCTGAGGCCAGCTCCTTACTCTGTTCTCAGCTTGAATGGCACTTCCTCTGGAGAATCTCCCCAAATCTCTCAGTTTAAACTAGATGCCTCCCCCCATTACAATCGTTCATCTAGTTCTTTACTTTTCCTTCTTAGCTCCTATCACAGTGTGTAATGATATATTAATTTGTGCGACTATTCAACATCTGTGTTTCCCACCAGATTATAAATTAATTCCACGAGGCCACTGCTATCTGGACTGTCTTGTTCGCGAGAATCCTGTGCCAAGCACAGAACCTGACATATAGTAGGAACTCAATAACTGTTGAATAAAGAAAACTGCAGTGGTAGCCAAGAGGGCGGGCTGGCCTATCTGAGGGCTACAGGCCAGGGAAGGTTTCAGGGACAAGGGGAATGGAGGTCTGGTCCGCAGATCTTAGGAGATAAAAGAAAAGAAGGGATGGAGAATGACATTCTGGGGGAATGTTGACACTGCTGAGCATCAGCTATGCACCAGGTGCTGTCCCATTACATTACCCTGGCCCTCACCATCCTCAGCATCACTCCCATCCGAACCCCCATCTTTAGGGGGATGTCCCACGAGCTGGGTGACCTGGGGTAAAATAATCTCTCCGAACCTCAGTTTCTTGATCTGTAAAATTGACTTGTACCACCAAGCTCTGGGGATTGTTATGAGGGAGGATCAGAGCAGGGCATGGTGTGCAAAGTACCACTGACCCACATCATATGCAGTAGTGTGTGGTGTGTGGGGTTCTGGAATCAGACTGCCTGGGTTCAGAGCTCAGGTTTGCCTCTTACCAGCTGTGTGATCTTGGGCAAGTCACTTCATTCCTCTGTGCCGCCTGTAAAATGGGGTTAAGAATACCTTTGGAATTGCTCTGGTGAGTAAATGAGGTAATCTATTAAAACACCTAACGTGGTGTCTGGCACATAGGAGGTGCTCAAGAAATAACACTTATTAGTATCCCTTCCTCTCCTCTACCACCCCAGAACTGTAGAATGTCAGAGCCAAAAAGACGTGAGGAATCACCACTTAAGCCCCCAATACAAAGAGGGAAACTGAGGCCAGGGAAGGGTAGAAGTCGTGAGGGAACCGGGGCCCTGGGTCCCAGCCTGGAGCACGTCTCCTCCGGACTCATACCTCAGCTCCCTGGTGCCCCTGGCCGGCAGCGCGGCCGGTCCTGCCTGGGCGGGACTCGGACGTGGGTGCCCTCCGGCCCGGCCACACCCCCTCCCCGCCCCTCGGCTCAGGCGGCGCGGGAGACGCCGGCAGGAGCTACAGCCGCTGTCTGCGCTGCCCCTCAGCGTGCGGGTCGCCTCCCAGCGCCAGAGCAAGACAGACGAACGAACGGGCGCTGCGCCGCAGGTGAGGGCTGTGCCGGGTGGGCACGAGGGGCAGGAGGTGCGGGTGCGGGGTACGGGGTAGGCCTGACCTCTCCAGGCTGGCGTACCTGGCCGGGTGGGGTTCGTGTGTGTGTGACAGACAGTGAAAGAGAGAGATGTGGGCAGTGTGTGAGAGATTAGTGTAAGCAGTGCATGTGTGCTGGGCTGTGTGCATTAGTGTGTGGAGTGTGCATGGTGTCCAATGTGTCCAGTGGATTGTGGTGTGTGTCTGCATGCAGTTGGTGTGGTACCTCTCTACTTCTGTCAGAGTAACCCAGTGGCTCCACATGTGTGCCCACAGTGTGGGCACACTGTGTGTTGGTGCCATGCCTACATGTGCATTGTGCATGTTGTGAAATGTGTGCTCTGTGTGTGGCACACCCATGGCCCTGTGTGGTGTGCTGAGCCAGGTAATGGAAGATGAGACACATTTGTGCAGCCATAGTCACTGACAACGTTTTGCATGACCCAGGGCGGTTCTGACTTTTCCACCCAGCACGCCTACGGGCTTGGGAGAATGAAAGCTCAGCCTATGTCTGGGTGGAGGAAATGCAACCAGTCCCAAACACACACACACACACACACACACACAGCTTTTTTAAAATATCATTTTTTAATCTTCAGAATTCATGTGGATTTTGCATTCCCTCTATAATATTTCTGCATTTGTTTTAGCATAATAATATTGTTCTGGAAAGTTACCATGCAGTTAGTTAACTCAAGACTTGGTGATCAGCTGGGTTTATCCAGCAGTGGGAGCCCTCTGCCACCTGTGGAGTAGAAGTCCCCTGCCTGTTTTCCAAACTGAGATGGCAGGACTTAAATCAGTGGTTGGTAGGTGGTCGTGCTGTGTGCACATGTATGCAGCACAGGTGTGTTGTGGGAAACTGGAGTTGGGTGTGGCCGTGGGCACTCTGTGTGCAGGAAGGGGTCACAGTGGCATGGGGGTGTGTTCCACACAGAGGGACTGTGGTGGGGTCTGTCTTGGTCACTTCTAGTGCAAGGGCAGGGGGGCTGGCCCTCTGGGGAGGAGCCCTGACCATCAGTGAGATTCTCACCTTTTCTCTGCTGGCAGGGCAGGAAGAGGCTGCCGGGCCCAGGGAACCACAGGGAAGGGGTTCCCATAGCAGGCCACCATCCAGGACTGTCGAGGTGGCTGTGTTATCCAGGCTTGGTTTGAATCACAGCTCTTACACTCTCTACATATAGGACCTTGGTCAAAACCTCTCTGCACCTCAGTTTCTTACTTTATAAAATGAAGATGTTAGTATATTTGCCTTGTTGGGTTATTGTGAGACTAAGATCCTGCATATAAAGTGCTTGGTACAATCTCTAGCCCTTAACAGCTGGTGATTAAACTGCGATGATAGTGATGGAGCCCTACATGAGTGGTCTGTGCCCACCCCAGGAACCCCAATTTCCACAGAATCAAGACCTCCCATGAGCTTGGCAGGTGGGAATCTAAGAGCCTCCAATCTCAGTATGTCTGGGGGTCCATTCCTATCCCAGGCTCCATCACTGTGAACTCTCAGTGACTCTCTGGCTCCCAGGAAGACATAGTCTGAAAAGGAAAGATACCAAGTCTCTGGCAAGGCCCAGGATAGAGCATGGGAGGGACGCTGGAGAGAAGTGTGGGGCAGCTGTGGGGCCTGGACAGAGACCCCTCTCTCCTGACAAACACAGGAGGAGCAGAAAAATGCTAGCCTGTGCCCTTGAGTGTGTGTGCGTGTTTGGGGCCTGGCAGGGGTTAGGGGCAGGGACGTCCTCTGCCTGGAATGAGGAAGGTCAGGAAGTGCAGGATCAGGGATGTTTGGTCCCTGCACCAAGGCAGGCCCTGAGAGCTAGAGGGAAGCTGGTAGGTCAGAGTTCGAGCAGGTGGGTCTGAGCTCCAGGCTGAAGTGGGCCATGAGACCCCTTAGGCTGGGCTTCATTTTGGGGGGGGAAACATTTGTGTTGGCAGAGCAAGAGCCCTTGTTCCTGGTGACTTCACTGGGGTAATTTGGAGAAGGTGCCCAGAGGCCTCAGAGGAGGAGGGGACATAAAAGGCAGTGTTGGGAGCTGTGGAAACATATTTAGGGAGGGCACCTAAATATATCCCATGGTGGCAGGGTGCTGTGATGGGCTGGCGGCAAGGCCAGGGCCAGGGGAGAGGCAGACCACTGTCCCCACTGTCCCTAGGCAAGGAGTGTTGGGCCGCAGAGGCTCTGAATGCTGCTCCAGAGGTCGGGGCAGCAGGGAGCCTGACCCAGCGCTGACAAGCTGGGTGACAAAGCCAGCTCTCTCATAGGCTGTCAGGGAGGTGGGACAAAGTGATACTGCTGTCACTTCCGTTCTCCATTCCTTTTAATCCACAATTCCAGCTATAATTATTTATGACTTTACAGCCTTAGCCCTATAAGTCTATAATCTCAGCTCAAACATTCTAAAAATCTATGAGCCAAACTCTAACTTTCTGTGCTCCAGCTGTAACAGTCCCTGACTCCAGCTTGAGTGTGCAAGGATTCTGACCCTGGCTCTGGCAGTCTGACACTTTGAAGCTTATAAACTACCAGGGATGGTATACTAGAGTTTACATCTGCAAAATCTGAAAAGCCCCAGGAAAGTTCCCACTATAGCCAGCCACAGCCATTGGAGCCATTCCCCTGGGCTGAGAAAAGGTTCTTGGTAAAATGGCCACATGTTTCCTGGGGGTGGACCAGCCCAGAGGCCCCTCGTCCTCAGGGCAGTGGGGGTGCTGGGAGTAACTCATGGCTCTCAGGGAAATGTGGCCCTGGAGAGGGAATGTTTGCATCTGGGGTTGTCATCATGCCTTCAGGATGACGGAACTGTGAGATCACTGAGTTTCTGGAGGGGACATGAAGAGGAAGAAGGTAGAGAGTAAGAAATGTGGCTGAGGAGGCCCCAAAGGCAAACCTCATTCCATCCGAGACTCTCCAAGCACCTTAGGCTGTAGAAAAGGCTCCTGTGGTGTTAGCAAGAACAGCGCCATTCATGCACAGCCATGTTTGAGCTCAGTGTGGGCTGACAGCCAGTCCTGGCTTCAGCTATGTGACTACGGACAAGTCACTTTCCCTCTGCAGACTTCATTTTCCTCATCTGGCAAACTGGCATCCAGGAGTAAAGCTCCTGGTCCCCTCTTTCCTACCACCGAGGACATCTGCACGGTCGTGGAACACCTGGTCCTGGGCCCTGTCTATAAGCATTAGCTGAGTAAGCGAGAAGTGAATGAAGAAATGAGTGGTCAGATGAAGAGAGGTGGAGATAGAGCACAAGGCACCAGGGCTGTGAACTCACTTCCTCTCCTCCCTGCACAGCCCCAGCCCGTGTGTCCGAAATTGACCTGAGAACTAAAGGAACTGAGTGATTGGCCGAGAGTGTAAGAGACTGGGTGGGGCGTGGGGACTCCCTGTGCCTTGCACTACCAGCTTCGCCAAGCCAGGGCAAGGCACATGGGATGCCTTCCGTGATTCTCTCCCTGCCATCACCCCCAACCCCTGAGCTGGTGACTGAAGGAAGGAACTGTAGCTTCAGGAGCAGCAGTTCTGGAGGCTGGGGTGGCGAGCAGGACCCCCCGCGAGAGGTTGGTGGAGAATGGAGGCCAGGAAAGTCCCAGGCCCTCAGGCTGTGTGAAGCAGGGTGAGAGTGGGAGTGGCCCACATTTGGGTGGGTATTGGCACAAATGAAGAGAAGGCAGGTAGCACCCATTTACCAGGCACCTACTCTGTAAGGTGCTATGCCCAGTTCTTACCTGTGGGCTCTCTGTCCTCCAGACATCCAGGTGGGAGGGAAGGGTTTGGGTGCATCTTGGGCTGCTTCCCTCATTTCTCCTTCTTCCTCACTTTCCCCATTCATTTAACAAACCCCATTGAATTTGCCTTCCAAATATCTCTCCATTGGTCCCTTGTCTCCATTCCTGTGACTTAGGCCCAGCTCAGGAATCCTCGCAGCCTCCCCACTTGCAGCCTCATCCTTCTTCTCCTCCTTTTTCCTTTGGCTGCCAGGAAGCTCAGTCACCATCTGAGTCTTGGTTTCTGTTACCATTTTTCCTGCCCTGTCTCTAGTAGGATCATGTGTCATATATGGCTATTGTCTGAGCTGCCTCCAGCCCATTATGGACAGAACTGTAAATTCCAAAGAAATGAATAAGTAAAATCTGGTATTTCCTGAATTCTTATGAAGATGTCCATGGGCTCCTTAGATTTTTCACTTTTCTTTACTGCTTCTTTCAGCACATTGACTCCTACCCATTCATGGAGATACTGCTGCTGAATGGGGCAGAGTATTGGTTCAAAACATTGTGTTCAAGTCCTGCCTGTGATACCACTAGCTATATGAACCTTACTTAACTATTTGGTGCCTTATTTCCCCGTCTGTAATATGGGAATAATACCTACCTCATATTGGGTGTATGAGGATTAAGTGGGATAGTATGAGCAATGTGGTGAGCACGGTGTGTTTGCCAATACCAGTATTACCAGAATGGGCCTTACCATCCTGGGAGGGCTCACAGGAAGGGGGGCTGGCTCTCCTGGAATGTTCTATGGCAGTGCTTCTCAAATGTCGATGTATGCCTGAATCCCTTGGGGGTCTGATTCAGTAAGTCGAGATAAGGCCTCAGGGTGCATTTCTAACATGCTCTCAGATGATGCCAATGCTTCAGAGCAAAGTACACACCTCAATCTTTACCATGAAGACTTACGCCAGGCTGTGGCTGGGATCCAAGGAGGAGACCAGATGGGAATGGAGGAGCCTCAGGCTGCTGTCCTGCCCACCCCATCCTGAAGCTCTGAGGAGGCTGGACTCCAAGCAGAGGCTGAGACAAGGACTGAGATTTTCTTCATCACCAGGCTGCTGACACTCAGAAGAGCTTACTCAACAGAGATTGAATGAGTAAATGAACCAAACAAGCAATGCAAGGGCTCTGGGGGCGTGGCTGGCTTCCCTCTAGAACTCCTCTTTCCCACATTCTGACCTTGAAGCTGCCAAATCCAGAGTGATTGATTAGTCTAAGGCCTCCCTTTGAGCTGGTGACATAGGGCCAGGCAGTCCAAGACCACACTCCTGAAGGGACCTTTACCTGATTTTTCTGAGCATTCTGGCCAGGGCCTGTGTGGGATGGCTGGAGAAGCCAAGCCGGACAAACATCCGTGCATGGGGAACACCTTGTCTTCTCGGGAGGGACTGAGGCAGGACCTGGGTATCCAAGGACTCAGCTCTTCCCCTTCCATCTCTTTCCTGATCCTGAAAGTTCTTTGTGTGAAACTTGCTGCAGAGCTGAGCAAGAGCCCCATATATGCTGGGCAGCACATGGGTGTGCTTTTATGTAGGTATGTGTGCATGACGGGAAGTGTGCTCCCACGTGTGGCAGGTGCCTAGGAATGTGCACATGTGTGGACCTACGGGGGTTACATGGGGCCGTGCTCAGGTCTGGGTGTGCTGCATGCATGCCAGTGTGGGGTTGCACTGTCAGACACATGCTCCTTCCTCTGCCATTTCTCTGTGGCTCCTCTGTGCTTTCCTATGTATGGTGGGAAATGGCAGACCCCAGACTCTGGACAGAATGAGTGCCCAGGTTGAGAGAAGGGAATTTGAGGCACAGCAAGAGATACCAGCCTCCCCAACCTGAGGAGGCCGCCAAGCACACTGCCTACCAGCTTGAGTGGGACCTACCCTCTTTGGAATCCCAGAGCACCGAGTCTCCTTCAGACTGGGACCAGGAGGTCTCCAGTTTCAGACTGAGGGCTGAGAGTAGTGTTTCCCCTCTGGCCCCTGGGAGCAGCAAGGGGCCAATGGGCAGTGGGATGGAGGACATGGTTCCTGCTGCCAGTGGCTCATCACAGGCCACAGAGACCCTTCTCAGTGCCCAGCTCATGTGGGCAGGAATAGCTTCATTCTATAGCTGGGGAAACAAACGTACAGGACAAGGTGAGACTCACCCAATGGAGTGGCCAGTGCTGCACTGTGAGTCCAGCTCAAGGCCAGGAGGGGGACTCTGAGACCCAGCTGGCAGTGGCTGCTTGGCGTTGAGCCTCTGGAGGCAGGGTTCTAAGGTCAGTTTGGCCAGTTTGTGGTCCCGTCATCCAATAAAGACATGTTAGTTTAAACTGCAAAGTGCTTGACTATTGTATGGAGCTGAGGGGTTCCTGCTGGTAACTAAGGGCAAGAGGGTGACTGTGGAAGTGTCAGTGCCCAGAGGCAGCAAAGGGTCTGAGGATCCTGGAGGCAGGGCTTTGGCCTTGGGCACACAGCCACCGTGAGGAGCCTGCACCCAGCGCTCAGTCTAGCCTGCACCTGAGTTAATCCTCTAAGCCTTCCTCCTCTTCTTGTGTAGCTGCTTTTGTTCCTGGGGAAAATCGAGAGCCTGCACTGACCAGAAACCCCATAAATCTCCTGAGGCATCTGGGCCTGCCTGGGATTATAGCAAGGACTGGAAAGCCTGACAGATCAAAGCCTGTGAACTGGGGGTTTGTGGGCCCCCCAGGAGTGGGCACGTATATGCACGTATATACCACATGCAGAGACACATGCACAAATGTGTGTAAACATACACACTCCAGGGCCACTCACATGGACGCACAAATGTGCCATATACACAAGGGTGCAAGTCCAAACGTGTGCCCTGTGAATACGTGTGCATCTTCCAGGTCAGAGCCACGCCGGGCTGACACCCCTGCCCCAGGCACACATGCGTGTATCAGACATCCTTGTAATGACAGCCTTTCCCAGCCTGGAGGGCCTGGGGTAGGGGATGGGTGAGATAAGAGTCACGGCAGGCCTTGGCCTTCTCCTCCCGAAATGAGCCCTCCCAGCCCTCGCAGCCCAGGCCCTCCTGTGCCTCCCCACTCGCCTTCTCACCACAGGGGCAGAGAGGTTCTCCTGTCAGTGCTGACCCGCTGGTTGAGAGTAGAGGTGGCTTTGGCCTTTCTGTAGAACTGGTTCTCTGGGCTTCACACTTATCTCCCATCAAGGGTCCAGGGCCTGCACTGGGGGTGCCTTAGACCCCTACACATGTGAGGAGACTGCTTTTCAGAAGGGCAGGGATATTGAGTATAAAGTCTGAAAACTGCCTTCTTTCAGTGTCTTGCTCATTCTTCATGACAGCCCCGAGATACAGGTACTGTCATTTCCTCCATCTGACAGATGAGGGAACCAAGGCCCAGGGAGGGATGGGACCTGCCTGAGGTCACACAGCAAGATGAGGCACAGTTAAGCAAAACTCTAGTCTCCCAAGCTTGGGTTTGGGAGCCTCCTGGGGTTTCAGCCTCCTGGGGCTTAGAAGATGGGAATTTGACCTCTCAGAGCTGGAAGGATGGGGCAGGCTGGGACCACCAGGTGGGCCCAAGGGAGGAACACTTCACACTCATTTACCAGAAACTGGCTGAGGGCACAGGCAGGCCCCTCTGAAGTCAGCACTCTGTGGTGAGGCTCAGCCCTTAGTCGGCTCTTATGTACACGCCAGAGGAGAAGGCAGGAGGGGGGACAAGGACACCTTTACCTTTCTGTGTGACCCAGGCAAGTCCCTGCCCCTCTCTGGGCCCAGCACCCTCTCAACAATGGCACATTGAGGATAGCTTGGGGGTGACTCCCTGTCTGAGCCTGCAGAGGGCTTCTGCTGGGCTGTGATGGAAGGCAGGCTCAGGATGCACCATGCTCTGGGGGTCCTGAGCTGGGGGCCTCTCCCAGGGGAGCCCTGTCCTGCTGCTGAGATCCACTGAGGCAGGACCTGGCACAGAGTGGGGGTTCAGACTTGGGGTCTCCTCCAGGCTGGGCAGGAGGTGGTGTTGTGAGAAGAGGGCCTAGTGAATCCAGAGGGCGCCTGTGGAGGCTGACTAAGATCGGAGCCCCTGGCTTTCTGCCCCTTACCCTCCCTTCTGTTTCTCTATTGTCTTACTACCTGACGTGCTATATACTTACTCATTAACTAAAATAGACTATCTCCCCTGCTAGAATGTCAGACCTACAAGGGCAACGGCTTTGTTTTGTGCTCTCAAGTGCCTTGAACATTACCTACAAAGAGTAGCTGCCCAATAAGACCTTGTAAAGAAGGAGGAGGACAAATCTTAAGTAAGGGGAGAAGGCCAGCCCAGGCCCTCCACTGGCTGAGGCAGAGTCTCCCTGATTGCCTCAAGGCTGGACTGGAGCTGGGGAGGGGACAGTGGCCCTGGCTCAGCCTTTCCCCCTCAAATCACCCTCAATCTAAAGAGCCATCCTCAGTTTCCAGTGGGAGGGGGAGCATCTGAGGCCAGAGCCGCAGACAACACAGCCATTAATCTTGGGTTCTCAGTTTCCCTTAATGGACCTGGAAGTCCCCGGCTTTGCTAAGAAATCCAGGTTAATTGTTCCCTTTGGCAGCAATGATCAGGGCCAGGACTCTCTCCAGACTTAAGAAAGGCCAGGAGAGGACTGAGAGGTGGGGTGGAGAGGAGGAGAAAAATGCTTATCAATGATTGCCTCCCCTGTGCCAAGCCCTGGTCCTTAAATGTTATCTCACACAATCCTCCCAACAGCCCTCAGAGCTGCACGGATGACACCCACTGCGCAGGTCGCACACTCCGAGGGCCAAGTGCCTGCCTGTGGCTGCGGAGGGGCTGAGGCGGCCTTAGTGTTGGGGGCTTGAGCATGAATGTTTTTTGAGATTTGGGTCCCAGCCCTGCATGCCTGCAGCTCTGTGCTGCAGCCACTTACTTCCCCTCCTCAGATTTCTCAGTTTCCTCATCTGCTGCCTCTGGGGACTTTTGTGAGACATACACGTGACAGCTCGTGGCTGGCGCAGGAACTGGCCATCAGTAGGGATTGCTCCAGGAGTCAGAATTTACTCCAGCACTTCACGGCCCAAGGTGGAGCTCACCAACTCCTGGTAAGTGTCCTGGGTTAAAGCCCAGAGGTGCCCCAGCTCCTGCCTCCTCTCGGAGCTCCACAAAGTCCACTTGCAGCCGCTGTGGCTCATCACAAGCCGGAGTGGGTAGGGGAGCTGACTCGGGATCCTCCTCCTTTCGCCTGCCTGTCTTGTGCATAGAGCCTACAGGCTGCACAGTGGGAGGGTGGAGGTGGTGGAGGCGTCTGCGCTGGGCTGGGTCACTGTGGAGGAGTAGAAGGCTGCAGGCAGCACCAGGGCCCTTGTGGGCCTGAGTTGGTGGCCCAAGACCCTTTCCCTCTCTGGGCCTCCATTTCTTACTCTGTAAAATGGGGGTAACAGTGACCTCTCCCTGAGTATTTGAAAACTGTTAAGTGTTGTATACTGTGAGGTTCCCTGTGGAGGAGGCTGGGGCCAGTGCTCAGAGGAGGCCCTCAGGGAGCTCCTGCTGCTGCTATCCCAGCTGAATCACAAGCCTGGAGCTGACCCCATGTGACCAGGGGGAAGATGGGTCTCCGGGTCCAAGCATGACTTGCTAACAGGAGGCGAAGCAGGGTCAGTGAGTGTATCTGGAGGGAGCTGGGTTTAAAACGTTTCTGGGGTCTCTGGTGCCATTCAACACCTGCTGGCACCACAGTGGGGGGGGAATGTCTGAGGCAGCACAGCCCTGGAGATGGCCACTGGCCTCTTGAAGATGCCTAGGATCCATGTCTCTCGCCTGGTCTAGAATGGGTCCTAAGCCAGTTCAGAAAGAGTCTCTTCACCCCTTGGTATCAAATGAGACAATAGATGAGAAGGCTCTTTGTAAAAATGCTGTGCCACTGATGGTACATGTGTGTGCAAGCCCTAGGGGGTGTGTGCATGAGTGAGAATGTGTAGCTTGCCAGTGTGTGTGCATGTGTCTGTAATGTGTGTGTGCACACATTCCCCTGGTCGGCTGGGTGGGATACCTCCTCACTGCCCAAGGCTCCCCTGTTTGGCTGGAACTTTTCTCCTTAAACTTGCCATAATCTTTTTTCATGTTTCCTCACTATTTCTTAGTTTACCAGAAAGGGAGCAGGCTGTGGTCTGGAAACCTAGCAATTGTCTCTGAGCCTGCCGATTCTTCCCTCCTTCCACCTGCCCTCACCTCATCCTGTGGCCGCCCCTGGAGGCGCAGCTGCTAGGCGCTCCAATGTGGCACAGTCTGCAGGGCTGGCAGCTTGCCTGGCTCCTCTCTGCAGCCCACCTGCCACCCACTTTTCCCTCCAAGGCTCTGTGCTGGCTGCTCTCACATCACTGTCCCATGGACTCCTCACAATATCCCAGTGCTCCCCCAGAAAAGCTCTTATTATTCCCATTTTGCAGGCAAGGAAATGAAGTCTCAATGGGGGGAATGGCTTTCCCAGAGTTACCCAGTCAACTAGTGGCAGTGCTGGGGTTTCAACTCCTACCTAACTCCAGAACTTTTCTTAACTGTTGCAGCCTACCTAGCAGGCTGCATGAAAGAATAAATGAATAAACTGCTCAGTCAATACTGAGCTGAAAGAGAAGGTTAAGCAGTAATCATAATGCCTACCATTTACTGAACACCTGCTATGTGCTATGTGCTTCACATAAGAGCAAATGCAGCCAAGACGGTTGTTATCCCCATTTATCAGTTGAGGAAGCCGACTTTCAGAGAAGTTAGAGCTTCTTGTCCAGTGTGAAATCTAAGATTCAAATTTGTCCTCCCTAGAGGAGAGTTGGCAGAGCCTGGAGACAGGTGCCCATTGCAGCAGAGGCCAGTCAAGACTCTCAGGAAGCTGTGTCCCCAGAGCTCTACCCAGTGACACCCACCCTCACTGCTCCTGTCCCTGGGGCATTTCCTCATTTGTCTCTGAAATGGGTTTCTATTTCAGTCTGGGCTGGGATCTGCGGCCCAGCTCTGTCTCTTCCTCTCTAACTGCTGGCAAGCATGTAAGGCCCAGTGCCCTGCCCTGGGTATGACAAGGTGCCTCCTGTTCCCCCTGCCCCAGGGCCTGCCCTGTCCTGTCCTTAACAGTTCCCATGTGGAGGACATGCATTGTGGGTCTGTGGAGATGGCCTAGGCTGGGTCAGTGGCACCTGTGTCCAGCCCTATGCTGGATGCTAAGAACCCAGCAGTGAGTAGATCTAGCACCCTGTTTAGCAAATTAAGAGACTGGGTACCGAGGCCTGGGTAGGCTCAGTCTGTAGTAGTGGGACAGAGCCAGGCATCCTGACACCCAGTGTAGCACTTGTTTTCACAGCCTGGGTCAGAGCAAGGGTGTTCTATGGCTCCAGGAGAGATATAACCTGTGGCATCTAGGAGGCACATCTCAGCTTAAAGGGATGATGTTGTTTCTGTGAAGCCCAGATGAGAAGTAACCATTCAGCTCAGCCAAAAGTTCCCTGAATGCCTTCTATTGGGGGAAGGCAAGGAGCAGAGGATACTATTTGCAGAGTAAAGAAATCAGATGCTGAAATCAAGAGCTGGATTTGAATCTGTACACCACCATTTGCTCGCTGTGACCTCAGACAAGCTATTTAACTTCTTGGAATCTAAGATTCCCCATTTATAAACTGGGATAATAGAACCGACATAACTAGCTCATGGAATGGATTAAAAAAGGTAATGCACACATTACTTGTAGGTTCTTAGGAAGTTTTAGTTCACTGCCCTCCTTGCCCTGGAGAGAAGGGAGATACCTTTAGGCTAGTCTGTTGGTTGAGGCAAGAGACAAAATTGTAAGATGTTAGAACAAATTTTGCAGATTCACCAACACTTGACACCATGTTGCAGTCTCATTTCTCATGTCACAAAGGGGACATAAAGACATGGGGAGGCTGATGTGTGAGGCACCCTGAAATGCCTGTTGTAAAATGTTGCTGGAATGAAGCAGATCATAGATTAAAATCTAAACAGTCCCTAGCCTGTGTCTTCTGACCAAGCTAGAAACCTTTCTGTCAGACTCCCAGAGAGTCAGTGAGATTTGTTAAGGACCTACTTTATGCCAGGCCATACCTGCGGCTTTATTACAGACTTACTTATAGTAGTAGCAGAAACCATGAAAGGTTAATGCCATAATTCAGGTTTAATAAGTGGGTAAACTGGGACTCAGAGGGTTAGATAACTTGCTCATTCAGCTCAAATAGCTCATAGAAGCAGGGGGAGGACTCAAATCCAGGACAGTCTGGCCCTGTAATCCATACCTCTCCTACTCCATGAGGTACTTGTTCCACAGAAGATGTCAGGCCTCAGATCAGAAATACATAAAATAAAATGGTAAAATATTAGTGACAACATAAAAAAGGAGTAATTAGGGAACTATAAATCAAAATCATAATATGATACCACTGTATTCCCATTAGGGGATGGCTATAATAAAAAAGATAGATAATAATAAGTGTTGACGAGGATGTGAAGAATAAGGAACACTTGTACACACTGTTGGTAGGCACATAATTTGGTGCAGCCACTTTGGAAAACAGTTTTCCAGTTCCTCAAAAAGTTCAACAGAGGTGCCATAAGACCCAGCAGTTCCACCATTAGGTATCTACCCAAGAAAATTAAAAACATACATCCACACAAAAAATTTGTATATAAATGTTGAAAGCTGTTATTCATAATAGTGAAAAAGTGTAAACAACCCAAATATTCACCAACTGATGAATGGATAAACAAAGTATGGTCTAGTCATACAATAGAATATTGTTTAGCCATGAAAATGAAATTCTGATCCATGCTACAGCATGGGTGAAACTTGAAGTTATTATGCTAAGTAAAACAGGCAAGAAACAAAATGGCATATATTGTATGATTCCATTTATACAAAGTGTCCAGACTGGGCAAATCCACAGATATAGATGGGAGAACTCCGCAAAAGATGGAAGGAGAGAGCAGTGAGGAGTAACTGCTAATGGGTACAGTGTTTCTTTTGTGGTATTTAAAATGTTCTGAAATTAGATATAGTATTGGTTGTACAATCTTGTGAATATACCAAAAAATCACTGAATTACACATCTGAAAGATGAATTTTATGGTAAGTGAATGACATTTTCATTTTTTAAAAAACAGGAGAGGGAACATGCAAGTTACACATAATGTTAAGACCAATGTCGATTCTAATGTTGGAGCACAGGGAAACTGACTTTGAGCTTCCTGGCAGCTAGAGCAAAAATGGAGAGGCAGCCTCTCTGAGGAGGAAGATGCCAGCTCCCAAGAGAAACGAACTTTTTTGCGGCTTAGAGCTAGGGCAAGATTCCCACAACCCTGAAGTGGCTGACTATCAAAATGAATTGTCAAAAACACAAATTTCCTGTATTTCCCACCTGAGATTCAGATACAAACAGTATCAAGAACCATGAAGGGCATGTGATGTTACCACACTTGCAAGCTAAAAAGTGAGCCTACTACTATTTCATGGATGCTGGCAGAAGACCTGAGACTTCTGGTGAGAGACAAAGAACTTTGTTCCTCACAGCAGTATTAGCACTGGGTCCTCAAGCCCCCATTCCTAAAGGCACCTCAGAGAAGACCAAATGATATCTTCACATGCAATGGAATGCATTACAAGAAGGAAACCTGGACCTAGGGCAACATGAATCTTTCATAATGGGGCAGTCAGCCTGCCTGACATTTGCCCCAGAGTAAGACATCATCTTTGCATACCAGACAGCCAACAAACCTGCCTTCGGCTCCAGTAGGAGACCCT